TGTAGTATTGACCATCACTTTCGGCAACATTAACACTTTGGATAGTTTTTGAATCCTACATTACAGTTAATTCCAAGTATGAAATTAACCATTACATTAAAAAAATATATTACAATTCCAAAAATGATGATTATGTCATACCTTCACAACAATGTTCTCTTGTGTTCCAAGTACGTCAACCACTTTACTAGTGGGTTGACCATCAATGTGACCAATGACATCACTTTTAGTTGGGAGGGAATCCTACAAAATATAAATTAAATATTAAATAACAAATGTTACAAAAAATATGAATAATTTTAATTTAGTGGTATAATTTTCATGAGATACCCTCTTTTTTTTCGTTTCCTTCTTTTTCCTAGCAACTTGCTCCACTTTTGATTGCTTCCTTTTAAATGGTGGACGGCCTTTACTTCGAACTGTCAATGGAGTAAGTATATTCTTCTCCTTTGATATATCATTTACATTACCACCAGAGCTTCTATCGACAATTGAATTGGGACTTGGTTCATAACTTGTAGAACCACCTTTGTATTTCTGTAATTTCTCCTTTAGATCATGTATACAATCCATCACAAATGTGCACTTATCTTCAGAATCTACTGCTAAGTCTGCAACCTCATTAAAAGCATTGCACATTTTATCTAATCGTTGTGCTTCGGGTGTGGCACTCCAACAGTCATAACTAATTTTAATCTTTGTGTGACATCTTTTCACATCCTTCCTCCATCTTTGTACGATGTATTTATCAGAAAGTAAGTAAATCTTTCTACGGATTAACACTGTCACGGCATGCCTGCATAATATTCCTCTAAATTCAAACAAGCGACAATTGCACTTCACTTCACAATCTTTTTCATTAAACAAAACCTTGAAATTTGCACTCTTTCTTTTCTCTGCAGTCATGATATCCTCACATACGTCATATTCAGAAATCAAGCCATCCACTTTGACCGAAGTCAAATCACAATACATCTTCCCTGTCAATTCCCTTTGGAACTCCTTAAATTTTGAGATGGTGTAAACCTTTTGAACTTGTTTCTCCATGTCATAATGGGTCACACAAGGGACTTGCGAAGAGAAAGACTTAGATTCTTCCTCGTTCTCCTTCTCCACCTTACTTTTCAAAGCATTTTCATATTGTTCGACGAATTGCTTTAAGGTAGTCTTAGAGTTGACATACCCATCAAAGAATGAATTCATACTCTCACTTCGTTGTGTGGTAGACATTCCCGCCCAAAAAGTATCTTTCACAAAGATTGACACCCAACGACGCCTCTCACTGTACAACTCACTCAACCAGTCATTGTTATGTAGCTTGTACTTATCAATCATTCCATTCCAACTTTCCTCAAATTCAATACAACTCAATGAATCATAAACGGCTCTTTGCAAGAAAAATTTGATGGATTCATATTGCTTATAACCTCTCAACTTTTCAGGTAATTTCTTCATGATGTGCCATAGGCACCATCGATGCCTAGCATTTGGGAAAACAATCTCAACTGCTTTCTTCATGGCCTTATCTTGGTCAGTTATTATAGAACATGGAGTTTTCCCAGACATACATGCAAGCCATGATTGAAATAACCAACAAAAAGTTTCCGTATCTTCACTAGAGATCAAACCACATCCAAACAAAGTTGACTGCCCATGATGATTAACTCCTACGAATGGAGCAAAGGGCATGTCATACTTATTTGTCAAATATGTTGTATCAAATGTAATAACATCACCAAATTCTTCATATGCAGCCCTACTCCTTGCATCAGCCCAAAACACATTCCTTAACCGACCCTCATCATCCAAATCCATTATATAAAAGAAGTTTGCATTCTCACCTTGCATCTTTAAGAAGTAATTTTGTATCGCAGAAGCATCTCCTTCCCCAAGCCGTAAACGCCTTATTTTATCAATGTAGTTTCTACAATCCTTCTCTAAAAAAGAGATATTCTCATGCCCCCCTGCTTCAACCACAAATGAATTAAAATTTTTATTTATTCTAATCCCCGCCCTATCGTTCAATTCAAGCTTCCTTTTCACATTTGGTCCCATCACTCGATTGCAACAAAAGAATCGAGCTTTGCTTGGACTAACCTCATGGTTATGATCAAGCATGACAGTGTTCAGTCGCCACTTTCTATCAGCACATAAAATTGCTAGGACCTTTGCCTTGCAACCTGTTCTGATACTNGACACCCAACGACGCCTCTCACTGTACAACTCACTCAACCAGTCATTGTTATGTAGCTTGTACTTATCAATCATTCCATTCCAACTTTCCTCAAATTCAATACAACTCAATGAATCATAAACGGCTCTTTGCAAGAAAAATTTGATGGATTCATATTGCTTATAACCTCTCAACTTTTCAGGTAATTTCTTCATGATGTGCCATAGGCACCATCGATGCCTAGCATTTGGGAAAACAATCTCAACTGCTTTCTTCATGGCCTTATCTTGGTCAGTTATTATAGAACATGGAGTTTTCCCAGACATACATGCAAGCCATGATTGAAATAACCAACAAAAAGTTTCCGTATCTTCACTAGAGATCAAACCACATCCAAACAAAGTTGACTGCCCATGATGATTAACTCCTACGAATGGAGCAAAGGGCATGTCATACTTATTTGTCAAATATGTTGTATCAAATGTAATAACATCACCAAATTCTTCATATGCAGCCCTACTCCTTGCATCAGCCCAAAACACATTCCTTAACCGACCCTCATCATCCAAATCCATTATATAAAAGAAGTTTGCATTTTCACCTTGCATCTTTAAGAAGTAATTTTGTATCGCAGAAGCATCTCCTTCCCCAAGCCGTAAACGCCTTATTTTATCAATGTAGTTTCTACAATCCTTCTCTAAAAAAGAGATATTCTCATGCCCCCCTGCTTCAACCACAAATGAATTAAAATTTTTATTTATTCTAATCCCCGCCCTATCGTTCAATTCAAGCTTCCTTTTCACATTTGGTCCCATCACTCGATTGCAACGAAAGAATCGAGCTTTGCTTGGACTAACCTCATGGTTATGATCAAGCATGACAGTGTTCAGTCGCCACTTTCTATCAGCACATAAAATTGCTAGGACCTTTGCCTTGCAACCTGTTCTGATACTTGGACGCGGTTTGAAAGGATTTTTAGAATTGCACTCTGACTTTCCTGATCGGGAACAACAAATCGTCAAATATTTCAACTCACCATCATCTCCTTTTCCTGATGATCTTATCTTAACTGGGAACCCCAATTGCTTACCATAATCTGTGTAATAGTCAAACAACTCTTTTTCACTTTCAAACATCATCCCAACCTTAGGCTCATCTACGTTGACCACATTCTGTATTTTAGTCTCAACATTTTTATCAATCATTTGCAAACTACTTGAACATTCTCCTTCCATTCTAAAAAAGAATTAACCCCACCAAGTGCCTCTTTGATTAATCAGAGATTTCTTAACCACAATATATGCCTGAACACCACATGTTTATGCTCCAAAATCACTAACAAAAATAAATGGATAGAATATTAAAAAATAAAAAAGATGTAATAAACTTATAAGAAAATTAGTTCTTCAATGAATTCACATCTAAGACGTCCTAAAACAACAGACATAATTAATCTTGAGAAATTCATAACAAAAAAGCAATATGCTTTAACAGTAAAGCAACAAAGGAAAAAATGAGTAAACTTTATTTTTTATGTTCAGGATCTATATTTCGAGTATTTTTTAATGCTTTGTGTTTCTAAACTAAAAAGGAACTCTCTTTCCTGTACTCCGTGTATGGTGTTTGTAGTTGAATGTGTATTGACTTCTTGTGTTGAATTCAATGCTTAATGTGTGGTGCCTCATGTAATTCATGCCTAATTTTTCCTGATTAGCTCATGTGTTGCATGTTGTGTAGGTTCTGCAAGCCGAATCATTAATAGCAAAAATTCGGATTTATGGCGTAGAAAATTTGGAGCTACTGGTCAAATTCATTTGAAGCAATGATAAATAAGTTGTTTGACACTTACCAAGATGGGGACACTTAAAAAAATCTTGATCGAAACAATTGTTTACTCCAAGGCTTCGAACGATTATATATTCCAGCGAAGAGGTAAAGAGGGGAGGAGAAGCGTGATCGAAGCTCTCAAAAGACGAATGTGCTGGTGGCCAATGTCAATTGCCGGAGTTGTGAAATTCAAAAGTTGAGCAACCACATGGACAGTCCCAAAGTTGATCGGCCTAGCATCTCTTGTGGCAATTCGTGGACCTACAGAGCGAAAAAAAAAAAAAACAGAGGGTGTTAGAAAAGCTTAGATGTACTAAAGATGAGATATTTATGAGCTTTTTCGTCATCAATACCTTTGCATACTTTAGAATCTGTGATAGCTTTTCAGGGAAATGATCGAATGGAAAACAAAAAATATCTACTGTGACATAGATTTGGACTGCTGAGCAGTACCACACGCATGCAAATGAAATCCAAGAAAGCAAATGTCGGTGGCACTCTTTGTTCTGTGGGCAAGTTTTGACATAGGGAAGGAGAGGGTTTCAGGGAGGGAAGAAGGAAGATGGAACGTTAAACCTGAGATTTCATCTTAAATTTTTTTTTTTTTTTTTGGGATGACATGACTGGTACACATCAGCAGCCACATCATCAAGTCTGTATTTTAAGTCTGTGTTTTAAGTCTGTCTAGCATTACTCAAAAAGCTCACACTAAAAGCCGTCTCCAGCGGTGACGCCTCTTCATTAGCAGCCCTCATCACTTGCAAAACTCCACGTGTCACTACGAGATCATTTTTCTATATATATATATATTTTAATGGATTATTTTTCATATATTCGCAACCGTTTACGTTTAACATTTACTCGAGGTCAACGCCGTCACTGACCTAACTGTGTCCACCCAGCAATATAAACAAGATCCGCCATACAGACTCAAACGAAGCGCTTTGACTAAAATCTTCGGTGAAGTGCCGAGGACAACAAACCAGTCCGATTCGATACCATGAAAGCCGTTCTTGTGCGAACCGGTTCAGTCCCGGTTCTTCCTTCGTTATTGGGCGGTTCACCGAGAGTTTCTCTCTCCGTTCACGACTCCATTTCCGGCGAGAAAAACCACTTTTCTTCTCCGAAGACTGGTCTGCGTTTGGAGGTCAATCGTCGAAGCGTTATGCGAAGGGCTTTGTCGGAAACAGATGTTGTCAGATTGGAAACTGAGGCTTCCTGTAAGTTCTCGAAGTTGAGCGGCATCGGATCGCTGAAAATACGGGAGGAAGAGTATGTAGAAAACGATGACGAGGTGGTTTTTAGAGGAATTGGATCTTTGACTTTGGCGGAGAGAGATTTTGATCGGAGGAACTATAAAGAAGATTGGCCGGCAAGTGCGATTCCGGTTGAATAACTAGGATTTCCAGGCGGTGGAGGTGGTAAAAACCGGAAGTCCGGCGGTGGCGGCGAACTCGGAACCGGTGGTGGAAACTCCGATCAGAGCAAGATCGGGGCATATTATCAGGAGCTGCTGAAGTCAAATCCTACAAATTCTATGCTGCTTAGAAACTACGGAAAATACTTGCATGAGGTACACTTCAAAATCACCTGCTTACTTTTCAGTCTATTCTCAGATCACTTGATGTATATTTGAGATTTTCATTCTCTGTTACGTAAAGGTGCAAAAAGATACGGCTAAAGCGGAAGAGTACTACGGTAGAGCTATATTGGCGAGTCCTGGAGATGGAGAAGTGCTATCATTATATGGAAAATTGATTTGGGAGACACATAGAGACGAAGATAGAGCCAAATCATACTTTGATCAGGCTGTTCACGCCTCCCCTGATGACTGGTACATCTCTCTATCTCTTTCAAGATTTCTGAATCAAAATTTCATAGTTCAATTCAATGATTTTATTCCAACTCTCTGTCTCTGTCTCTCATCTATGCTGGTTAGATCTGAGTTATTAATTCGAATCCTAATGTTTTTGCTCATGGAAATGACAGTACGGTTTTGGGATGGTACGCGCACTTCATGTGGGAAGCTGAGGAAGAGGAAGATGAAGATGCGGAAGAAATGGAGAGAAAGGGTGAACAGTCGGCGACCATGGTTGCAGCTTTCTAGCGAACAGTGCAATTGACAAACTGTAACGGTACTAACAGTTTTTTGCAAAAGCATAATTAGTGTAAAAAGAGGAATAATCTGACTTGACCCTCCTCCTAGATGCTACTGGGAGGACTCTGCAAGATGAGGAATAAGATAGAAAAATTATGTATTTGTGCGTGTGTGTGTGTTTCTTTTGCCTTTGATGTATGTACAGTGTAATAAATGATCTCTGTTCAATCTTATAATCATTTTTCCTCTTTGATGTAAAATTCTAATTCAAGTTTATAATAATGTTGTTTTATGCTATATGAATATGACAATGACACTGGATTGACCAGAAAATGAGGAGACTCTCAACAGGGTGGGGCTCCTCTGCTGCACAGTAGGGATGGGGTGTTGTTCTCAAAACGAATTCATTTTAAGCACATAATGAAATCATTTTATATGTAAAATGACATCATTTAAAGGAACAATTCGGTCTCCCGTTTGCCGCCGATAAAATCTTTAAAATTGATCAGTCAGTTGGCTTGGTTTGATTATTTTTTTCTATTGTGTGCACGAGTTATCTTCCTCTAAGCTCTGTATGACGACATGCCATTATCAATTAAATATAAGTTGGTTTCACTTAGGTCTACCTTGCTGCGATATTGTCCTATGAAAACGTTACAGCAAAGGAGCTGTGCCACTCTCAACATGGCAATATAATGAACCAAGCATGGGACAAAAAATGACAAGACAGGCATCGCAATGTAATGAATGAGCCAAGCATGGACGGAAATATGTTATGGCCTACAGGGTGGATGGTTCCCCCATTATTCAGTTACTGTTTGAACAACAATTTCTCTCTTAGTAACAAGGTTCAAAACTCCGGACACAGTACTGGCTGGTGCCGTCCGTGGAGCCAAAGCATGGGTTCAGGTTAAAATTTATTAATCTGGAGCATTGTCTTAGATGAGGGCTTTAAATGGTTCCAATTACAATAATGTTGTCATCCTCTCTATTTGGGGCAAAAGAAAGGGACTATAGGTTTTTGGCATTCTAGTGCCTTCTAACAGCTTAAGGTTATTAGAAATAGAACAAACAAAGCCATAATCTTTAAGCCGGCAGGTTCTCTCCCCCTTGAAATAACAATAATCGCGATGTTTAATATCTTTCATGGAAGATATAATGTAAATAATCACCACATCATCATATATTTTTGAAGCATAAGCCAACAAACTACATAAAACAGTTTTTTCATACATGATCATAAGGTTACGTACATGTAACTCTCCCAGACTCTGCAGTGATAGAAAACTCATGCACTGGTCTGCTCTTTAGAGGGCGAGTCTTGACATAGTGCCAGGCAAATGCCACAAAGCATACTCTTAAGGGACATGTAAATCAAGCAGGAAACAGGAAGGATTTACTTGCATTCAATCTAACATCATCATGCACTTGAAATGACCCCTTTAACCATCTCTTTCGGAGTGCTAACAGAGTTTCGAGTAGTTTTGAACAGCCTGCTTACTTTCTCCTTCATTTTGCTACTTACTGTCTTTGGAACCTTTCCATCCTTCTCTTTAGTTTTTCTGCTTTCAGACTTGGGCACAGTCTTATGGAGTTTGCCAAGTGAAGAAGAACTGGAATTCATTTCTGGGACCTGCGTTTCATCGATCAGCTATGATCATAGACGAATTAATTGACTGAGCTTTCAAGGTAACTTTCATTTTTTAGTGGTAATACTTAACTCATACCATGACCAACCAGAACTTTCATTTCTTACTGGAGATAAGTTTTTTTTATAGAGCTACTGTTTTCATGAAATGTGGCTATTTTATGGAGAGTGAACAATCAGTGGGACATCATCATAGCGTTTTTAAGCATTCTAGTTTCTTATGTTACATTAAGATTAAGTTTATTGAGGCATCGGGAGTTCTAAAATTTCACAGTTTCTTTTAATTGTGACGAATGCTACTACATTGTCCTGTATTCATAAGTTGTAGCTCTGACAGAAACAATAGAATTATATCTTACATTTTTTGTTTCTGTTTTTGGCTGGGTAGTTTTTGCTAATAAAAGCTTGGCAATGGCAATGCTTTGAATGTGGAACTCTTCCGAAATTTGTTGATCTCCACTTCATCTCCTTCCTGCTTCTTTACTCATAAAACGTTTGTTTTTTTTTTTGAAAAGGTCATAAAATGTTTGTTAATCAACGATGATCCCTTAATATTTGTAGCCATAAGTCTAACATAAAACATTTCTGACTAGTCTAACACACCAGCAAGTGTCAAAGAAATACACTGTTTTTTTCATGTACCTTCGTAGTGACTTGGGGTCTCTTCTTTTCAACCTCCTTCATTTGATTGTTATCCTTAGTTTTCAAACCATTCTGTGATTTACAATCCAATGGAAACACAAAATTGGTTAAGTTTCATTGGCTTTCTTTAGTGAGACTTTATATAGAGAACTTCTGGGCGATGCTCCATGCATTGCTAGCCCGGGGACAAAAAAAAAAATAAAAAAAATATAAGATATTAGGATGATTATCCTTGCAGCGCTATAGACCATTGAATCCACTTAGTTTTAGTATGCAATTAAAAGGAAAAGTAATTAAAAAAAATTATGATCTAGGAATAATTTTTACCTCTGCTTAATGTCAACCTCCTCACCAGTTGTAACTTTGGGCTTCAAGCTTGTTTTACTTGGCCTGCTTGAACTAGCACCCCTCGCGCCGAAGGTTCTTTCACCACTAAGTGAGGATTTAGTAAGACTCCTGTACATTGGAACCTTGAATAATGTTAGACCCCTTCATTTTATTCCTTTTTCCTTTCTTTATTTTTTGCTTTTTGTTATTTTATTTATTTATTTATTTTTAATTTTTTTTTTGGGGGGAAGGGAGAGGGGAGGGAAGGATTTGAACCTTTAATTTCAAGAAAATAAAGTCTTTACACGGTAAGTAATACCATTAGACAAAGACTTTTCGTTGATTATAGCTCAATGTTTAATAAAAGTCAACATTTGACAGGAACTGACTTTGTTCTAATATCCGTGCCACATTTAAATTTTATGGAAAAATCCAGTAAAATTGTCAGTCATAACAAAGATTTTTCATGCTTATGTTGATTTTGATAGTACGAATTTTGATAGAAAAACTTACCTGTAATTAAAACTGGCAGACTTGGATGCAGCTGGTTTTGACTCAAAATCCATTGAACTTCGCCTTTGCCTGGACATTCTTTGCTCAATTGCCAAAGAGAATGGCCGAGGAACAGTGGTTCTTGTCTTGGTATTTTGCTTAACACGTAGATTCGATTTATTAGATGCATCAGTCTGGCTTTCACCAACCTATCCTCCTGCAATTTCCTGCTTGTCAAATTTGACTTCAGTTTCACTTTCATGTTTCTCTTCCGTCGTGTCCTTTTGCAATTGAGTTGCTTCAAGCATCTGAGCTACTTTGTCCTCTTTGTTGGTTTCACCTTGTTTATCAGGCTTTACTTTGTTCTGATCTTGTGGAGGACTTTGTTTGATCTCTTCTTTCTCTTCCATTTCTAGGGTCATTCAAGGAACAAAATTCGAACAGCAAGTTTTTACAAGTGAAAATGAGACCGGTTATCCATTCATATTGTTGAGAAAGTTACTATAATACGATTATGAAAGTTACTATAATGCAATTAGGGTTTATGTTTATTGTAATATGTATACCACACAAAGGGTATACTCGTATTTTTATTTTGTTCGGTGATTACAAATACAAAACCAATAGTGAGAGGTAGATTAAGCCAAAACCTCTCTTTGTCTTTCTCATATTGTGTCAAGCTCCTCCCTAATCTTAACATGGTATCAGAGCAAGACTCCTATTAATCTTCTTAATCATCTTTTCTTTTTCTTTTCCTTTTCTTTTCTTTTTTTTGTGTTCTTTTCTCTTCCACTCTTTTCCTGTTTTCTTCTGGTTTGCATCTTCACTAAGTCCGGGTGTTGAAGGGGTTTGCATTGACTCTGTGTAAGCTTCGGCATGAAACCGAGGTTCCAATGGTTCTCTGCTAAGTTGCTCTTGGTGCTGTTCATGGTGGTGGTGATGTGGTATCGTTGTGGATATTCCTTGTCACTGTGGTAATGTCGTCATTGCTTGGGGTGTGAGGTGTCGTCGACTGGTGAGGTGGTGTGTGACTTGATCCAAAATGTGTATACCCAAGTGCAGATGGTCAAGTTGTAATAATAATCCGGTTAAGTCCGGAGTCGAATCTACAGGAAACTATGATTGGTGTTTTGAAGTAAGCAATAATAGAGACCAAGTAACTAGAAATTTCGAGAGTTTGGAGTGGTGAGATTTCTTGAATAGAATAGAAGATTATTTTCAAGAATTTTCTAGACAAATTATAAGATTCTCAAAATGTAACAGCCACCCTTTAGCTCGAGGATCAAGACATGTACTAGATTATCCGGTTTATTATGTTTGTGCTTTATAACTCAATTAACTCCCGTGTCAATAACAAGTTAATCGGAAGATAAAGATGGATTGTGAGAATTAGGTACATGAGTCCGATACCTTTCTAGAAGTTTACAAGAATTGTCTATGTCGAGACTTAACCCGTCTACAAACAAGCAAGTGCTTCTACAAGACATCCAACCATGACATTAAGGGTCCATTCTTTGAATAAAACGCAAAAATGGTGGAGATTGAATGGTTGTTATGAAGAGCTAGACAGAGTGCTTGCCTTGAACCAACGAGTCTTTNTAGAAGGTGTATCGTTTTTAAAAAATAG